CTCGAATAACGTTGCGATATCTACCGGTCTCGATTGCTAATGAATGTGCAGACATTCGTAACTTTGTTAGACTAATTCTATAATTCTTAGGAATATATTTGGTTAAATAATACTGAATGGAAAAGTGGTCTACGATACACTTGTATAAAAAACACTTAGAGGAAGTCTCTAGTAAACCTCTTAAATGTTGTTGGCCTTGGTCAAAAATTCTTTGACGAATAAGCGGTAAAATTAATTTAACATTAGTCGACGATTGGCTTAACCATACATCACCAAAGCCCAAAGCAAATAATTCATTTTTTACATGGTGTACCCAGTTAAAGCAAGTACATGTAATCTGTTTTGATAAAAAAGAATATGCACAGTTCAGAATACAATTTTTCGAGTCGAGTAACTTAAACCAATACTTAATGATTCTGTATTTTCTGATACATTCTAAAGGCAAGCGACCAAGTTCGAAATATACCATTGCATTACATGTGGATTTTTTAACTTTGAGGAGTCTCTTACAGAAATTCAAGTGCACATTCTCAATGTCTATTCCTTTTATGGATCCCCATACTTCACATGCGTAACTTAATATGCTAATAACATATGTATCGAACAAATGTAACATGGTCTTAAAATTAAGACTAAGATTGGAGCATTTTGATAATAAAGCAAACATAGCTTTACGACCTTGGTCAGCTAATTGTTTCTGAATACTATTGAACTTATTGTTAAACTTAAATTGCACACCTAGGTATGTAAATTGATCAACACAACTAACCGTTTTGCCATTATAAAACCAAATTTCATTATTTCGAACTTTCCCGCCTTTTCGAAAAACCACAATTTTTGTCTTATCAATATTGACAGTTAATTTCCATTTCTCAGAATAACTAGCGAGATTATCCAACAGTTCCTGTAAACCCTCAACCGTCTCCGATAACAACACTAAATCGTCTGCGTATAGCATAAGAAATAAGCTTAATTCTCCAAAGGTATAATAGCTACTACAATTCGAGATAAAAAACGATTCAAAATCATTCACATACATGGAAAAAAGTATCGGAGACAGAATTTCCCCTTGCAATAATCCGATATCATTATCAAAAAAGTCTGATAAGCAGCCTTTGAATTTCACACAAGACCTAACATGATTATATATAGACTTGATGACTTGCAGCAGCTTCCCTCTTACTCCCAACTTCGATAACTTATACCACAAGTTGATCCTATCAACGTAGTCGAACGCCTTTCTAAAATCCACGAAACAACAATATAGACGTTTATTTTCACTAAAAGATTTTGTAATAACTGAATGCAGAGCGAAAACGGCATCAACAGTGCTAAGACCAGGACGAAAACCAAACTGTGCGTCAGTAATAATATCATAAGACTCCGACCATTTTACCAACCTCGTATTCAAAATTGATGTAAACAGTTTGCCTAGACAACTTACCAAACTAATACCTCTAAAATTGTTAGGGTCACTTTTATCTCCTTTCTTATGAACTGGCGTAATAACAGCTATAGACCATTCGGAGGGAAAACATCCAGAATTAAAAATGCCATTAAATAGTACACTCAAAACAGGCAATAGTACATTTTTACCAACTACGAAACATTCATTTAAAATTCCATCAAGTCCATGTGATTTACCCCGTTTCAGGTTACCTATCGCTTTAGCTATCTCATACACCGTAATAGGACAGTCTAATTCATCATAAATTGGAATAGAGTTATCATTGGAATTAAATTCACCTCTATTTTCTGTTACATCTGAATTATTAACATTCTCAGATGACAAAGTCTTAAAATGGTCGTACAAATTATCCATACTCATTTGAGGTCCAGCTGCTTTAGGCGACGAGAATCTCTTATAAAATTGTCTCGGATTATACTTTCTTAGTTGATCAAGCATATCACCTTCATATTTCATGTACATTCTTTTTTTCTTTGCTTCTGCTGCTTTGTACAATCTTTTCTTATTAATTAAATTGTTATGATTCTCTACAGACTTAGAACTATTAAACAAACTCAATGCATTTTTATAATTATTCCATACATGTTTCAAATCGGGGTCAAACCATGGTTTGTCCTCGGATATACCTGTATCATACCTAACTTGTTTATTTACCTGGTCTCGCCCCATTGCTCCCGCACGCTTGTCGTTCCTGTGTGTACTCGGTCGCGAGAGAAAGGGGTCCATTGCTCGAAGCAATACGTTTGAAAATCGCGTAACGCAATCATCCATATCATTTTGGGTAACATCTTCCGATAGTATAACCGACTCGTTAATATCGTTTTGATTCGTTGAGAGTACATCTAAAAAGCTTACCTTGCCTTCGTCATTCCATCGATAAGTAGGTCGCTCGTTACCTGTCGGTTCACACACGTGTGTATCATCATTATCGACCAATGAAAAACGCGTTCGTATTTGCACGTGCAGTGGGGCGTGGTCAGATAACACATTGAAATTGCCAACAATAAACTGTTTAACACAATACAATAAACATGGACTCGCAATCAAATAATCAATAACACTCATTCCATTATGGCCACAATATGTATAGTCATTTGAATACTTATTTAAATCTCTTCCGTTATAGATACGCAAACAACTCGCCTTACATAATTCTATAAGTCGGTTTCCAAAATGATTTACCACTGTGTCGGGGTTAACCCTATCAGTATAATAATCATCAGAGACATATGAAAACAAATCAGAAAGCTGACATTTAACACTGTCGTGAATAATATCATATTTTACATAATCACATACATTACTGGTACGACTGTTAAAATCTCCCAACAACATAATATCACCCTTTCGGGAATATTGACTTATACCATATTCCAATTCAAAAAATAAATCACAGTTATACTGGTTATAGAATTGGGAATTGGAAGGTGGAATATAGACACATGCCAGGTACACATCATTTCCTTGACCAATAAGACTTTTATCAATTTTTAGCCAAACTATAGAGTCACATATAATTTCACAAACTGAAATATATTTAGTTAAATTTGATTTAATCATAATTAACATGCCACCTCCTTGGGAATGTGTAGTACGTTTTCTAGGTATTACATAGGTAGAGTAACCTTCAATATCAACTTGGTAGTCATTTGTTATCCAACATTCTGTCAAAAATACAAGATTATATGTTTTAATAAAATTTTGAAATTGTTTAGATTTTAATTTATTGTCCAATCCACCATTAATGTTCCATGACAGTACATTTAGAGTATTTGAAATACTCTCATTCTCATCACTGTCCTAATTTGTACTGGACTGACGTCCTCGGCCTTTAGGCTTGTCCCGTCCCGTGGGGGTCCCCTTCCCGGCCGCGGCCGCGGAAAGGTCCGGTACTGGTCCATCATACACTTTATCATTTATAAAAAGTTTATCCCTAATAATCACCGCCTTTTTGTTCTCGTTTCTCGCTTTCTTACACACTGGCCATAGCCTCTTCCGCGCATCCTGAACCTCTTTCGGAAACTGGTCGGAAATAAAAATATCTGTCCCTTTTAGTTTCTTTGCATTACGTTTTACAAGCTCCTTTTGTTGGTACATATTAAATTTGGCTACGATGGGCTCCAAAACAAATCACTTTATCCAAGTTAAAAGGGTAGAATATTTAACGATTATCTTCGATTTACCCTACTAGGCCAAGCCCGCAACAACAACAACACCTAAAATTGAGTTCCCTTGGCCCAAGGCTGCTCCAAACCAACTAGGGTTAATATTGTTTACCTGTACTGAAGGATTCTAATGGTGTACCCCTACTGGGTCCTACCCTGTCTTTATTCTACCTACAGCCTGTGTCATAAAATATTGCTAGCTCCATAAATATAACAGTATTTTACAACTTTTACTTGAACAACTTAACTCTAAGATTAGATATCACTTAATGGGTTGCTTTAAATGATAAAGAGAACTTACTTTGAAAGGTTTTTTAATCCACACTAAACTCTAGATCTTTACTCTTGGATTGTGTATCAATTACATGTAATTTAATACAGCAGATGTCATTCAGCAATGTACACCAGACACCTGTGAGCTGTACAAATACTTAAACAAGAGGCCCAATGGGCCTGCATCGCTCACCTGGTATTAATCCCCCACTTGTAAACATAAAAGTGGATTAAAATTTACAGCCTCATGCAGAATATCAGTATTTTATTCATAAGAACCTATTAAAAGATTTAAACATATGACACCTGTGACCTTGAATGCCGAACAAGGACATAAGGTTGAAATACCTTGAAAGTAGGTCAATGTAATTCATTTGAACAAACTTGGAAGTCCTTTATCCCAGCATGCTACAGGCCCAATATCAGTACCCTGGGCCTTTTGGTTATTAAGAAGTTTTTTGAAGATTTTACGACATTTGACCCCTGTAACCTTGAAAGTTGGTCAATGTCATTTATTTGAACAAATTTGGTAGCCCTTCATGATTTTACGACATTTGACCCCTGTCACCTTGAAAGTTGGTCAAGGTCATTCATTTAACAAACTTGATAGTCCTTCATCCCAGCATGCTACAGGCCAAATATCAGTACCCTGGGCCTTTTGGTTATTGAGAATTTGAAGATTTTACGACATTTGACGCCTGTGACCTTGAAAGTTTGTCAAGGTCATTCATTTTAATAAACTTGATAGTTCTTCATCCCAGCATGCTACAGGCCCAATATCAGTACCCTGGGCCTTTTGGTTATTGAGAAGAAGTCGTTTGAAGATTTTAAGACATCTGACCCCAGTGACCTTGAAAGTGGATCAAGGTCATTCATTTGAACAAACTTGGTAGCCCTTCATCCCAGCATGCTACAGGCCCAATATCAGTACTCTGGGCCTTTTGGTTATTGAGAAGAAGTTGTTTGAAGATTTTAATATATTTGACCCCTGTGACCTTGAAAGCCCTTGATTCCAGCATGCTACTGGCCAAATATCATCATCCTAGGCCTTTAGGTTACTGAGAAGAAGTTGTTTAAAGTAAAAAGTTGACGCCAGACAGACGGACAAACAGACGACGGACGCCGCACCATGGCATAAGCTCACTTGCCCTTCTGGCAGGTGAGCTAACACATAGTCCGTGTGATCACGAGTAATACCTCAGCAATTGACCCATTGTAATTATTCCAATTGTACAGCAACAAATTAATGTCTATTACATTTTGTACTTGTAGAATTAGTGCTCTACTGAATGGTTTTGAGTGCTAAAAAGCTAGATATAATACTCGTTATAAGGTAGAGGTATCAGCTGGATGATCAAGCAGTCGAGTTGAACCAGGTACAAGTAACAATCCCACAGCATTGTTTCTGCAAATATTCTGTACTTGTCAACTGGTCTCGACCTTTTAGCTGGCTTCGTAAACAACAAAGCCGGCTTATATGGCGAAACCGATTGGCAAGTACAGAATAACGTTGAAGAAACCTACCCTCATACGGTAATGACTGATACATCTTCCTGATTCAACTCTGCTGCTCAGTCAACCTGAATACTTCCAGGTGTCCAACTGAGGGATAAAGGACCCTCAGATCCACCGAGAACAAAGAAACAGCATTGGCTTAATACCCTGCACCATTAAATTAAAATTATACATGACTTAATTTAAGGTTATTTTAAAACAATTATGACATAATTTATTAATCCCTCTTGTTGGTCTGAATGGAATCCTGTATGTGGTCTTAATGTGGGAGGAAGCCAGAGAACATGCAGAAAAAGCCACAACGTCAGGCAGGCAACCCAATACCTTTGAACCTAGGATGAGGGAATCAAATCCTGGATATCTTGATGAAAAGGGAGAGCACTATCTACTCTGCCATCCCAACACAATATTTTACCTGAGTTATAATGTAGAGGAATCTGTAAGGCACATAACATAATTATAGTACATGTATTCCAAAACCATAACACACTTCTCAAATAACTTTAAAAACAGGATTTCATGTTATGGCTACAACTTAGTGTTGGTGTTAAACCAATACAGCAACCCATTTAACCTTTTACACTGACTGCTGCTCTAGTGTCTAACTCGGCTTCATTCTTCTTATTTTATTCTGTTTATCTACTTTGAATCACTCAGTTTTTTGTCCATTTCTTTTCCTGTGAAATAGAAGCTATCCCATTTTGTGCTTTGTTTGGTCTATTCCTTCTTTTCCTGCTTCACTCTGCCCATTAGATAGAACTCCTTGTTGGGTTTCATATTGGTGAGGTAAGCCATACGATTAGACAGGGCAAAAAGTGCTGCAACCGCTCCAATGTCCCAGGCATCGTCCTTCGTGAGGCCGTGCTTGTATAGATTTTCGAACTTCTCCTCAGACAGGGGGCGACAGTGGCAGACATCCATTGCAAAGTCTATGATAGCATACTGACGAGCATCAATGTCAGCCGTTTTCCAGTTTGCTGCCAGCTGAAAAACAAATCATGAAAAACTTCAAAAAGAGCACTACAGGATGGAACAACATATGTATGTCCCATGCCATGCAGCATCCATTTACCGCTATTCGAAATACATCCAAAAGATATGAATTTATCTTGATTGACTAGAGATTCTTGTAATAAAATATTACTGTAGGGGCCAAAATGCCAGTATAAGGGTTATTCATTATTAAAATGAATTGAGTAAAAAGTACTTGTATACCATACACTAAAGAAGGTCAAATTGTTGAAATGAAAAACATACGGTACTTTAGTTCATTAGCTGCATATACCTGGTAAACTATCAAAACCATTGCGTCCCGTTACACCTATTCTAACACACCATGAACAACAGCATGTTTCAAAAATAAATGAAGGGCCATAATTCTGTACAAAGGTGTGTACAAGATGCACTCTGCCCACCTAAGATGTGTGTATGTATAACAAGCTTAGTGAATGTAGGTTGGTGAGCAAGGACATTGATGCTGCAAACTTTGGCAAGTACAGGTGGAGTAGTAAGTAAATTATGCTCCAGACAAACTTTGACAAGTACAGGTGGAGTAGTAAGTAAATTATGCTCTAGACAAACTTTGGCAAGTACAGGTGGAGTAGTAAGTAAAGTATGCTCCAGACAAACTTTGGCAATACAGGTGGAGTAGTAAGTAAATTATGCTCCAGACAAACTTTGGCAATACAGGTGGGGGAAGAAGTAAATTATGCTCCATACAAACTTTGGCAAGTATAGGGGGAGTAGTAAGTTAATTTTTCTCCAGACAAACTTTGGCAAGCACAGGTGGAGTAGTAAGCAATTTATGCTCCAGACAAACATTGACAAGTACAGGTGGAGAAGTAAGTAAATTATGCTCTAGATAAACTTTAGCAAGTACAGGTAGAGTAGTAAGTAAATTATTCTCCAGACAAACTTTGGCAAGTATAGGTGGAGTAGTAAGTAAATTATGCTCTAGACAAACTTTAGCAAGTACAGGTGGAGTAGTAAGTAAATTATGCTCCAGACAAACTTTGGTAATACAGGCTGAGTAGTAAGTAAATTATGCTCTAGACAAACTTTAGCAAGTACACGTCGAGTAGTAAGTAAATTATTCTCTCGACAAACTTTAGCAAGTACATGTGGAGTAGTAAGTAAACTATGCTCCAGACAAACTTTGACAAGTACGGGTGGAGTAGTAAGTAACTTATGCTCCAGACAAACTTTGACAAGTACGGGTGGAGTAGTAAGTAAAGTATGCTCCAGACAATCTTTGGCAAGTACAGGTGGAGTAGTAAGTAAGTTATGCTCTAGACAAACTTTGGCAAGTACAGGTGGAGTAGTACGTAAAGTATGCTCCAGACAAACTTTGGCAAGTACAGGTGGAGTAGTACGTAAAGTATGCTCCAGACAAACTTTGGTACATACTGTATCACAAATGCACAACAGGTCTCAAGTCCACTTAAAATACATGTAAAATACTGAAACACAAACTTATTCAACCTTTGATGCATGTAAGATTTGTATCAAGTTTCACCATGAAACATCAATTTATAAAGGCAGGAGAGTGACAAGGAAAAGGTAAATGGATATACCATCAAATTTTTATTTGGTGTGGCAATGCCCTTTCAGTAAGGAGTGACATTTATGGGGCATAACCGCAACTGTTATTTAAAGTGTATGAAATAGATAGACTGAGCACCACAGTACTACTGTTACCTTTGTATGACTATCAACCCTTAAGATAGTTCTTTTAAAAAACCATATAGAGACTAATTTATTTGATTATAACTGTTGGGAATGAAGTGGGGGTTATTCTGGCGGATGAGATGACCTGATCTGCTAGTTGTGAGTTCCTGGAGTAGATCCGATGCAGAGCTCCATGGGCTATTATACAGTACAAACAACTGTTGTCTGAGGACGTCGCAACAATGATCATCTCCTTGTCGGCCTTCGTCAAGTTACCTAAAAATAGTTCTGTGTTGTTAAACCATATCAACTTTATATTGGTGACTGTACAAATTATTTTTATTCATTTTTGGCACATCAAGGAAATATTGAAATATGTAAAAACTCTTGACATAAGCAACATAACTTCCTGAGGATGTTACATATAAAGTTAGGCTGCCTGAGTGACCCCCTGTATATAACGACTCCCTGTCTTTTGTGACTGTGGACATAAACAGAAACCAGGATGGCGTACCTCTGTCAGCCATCACAACATCATAGTAGTTTAGGAAGCATCGAAGATCATCAGGCCGATAGGACAGCGCATTGAAGACGTTAGGCATGAATCCTGACTGGAAAGGAAACAGGATGTTTCTGATAGAGATCAAAAGGTCCTTTCTTTCTTAATTAATGTAAATCATAACTTTGATATCAATAATCTATGCTTGGCTCAACATTAAGTGTACAACTAAGTGTGCTACCTTTTCTTCCACCTCAGTCATCCTGTCTCTCACGTCTTGTGGTAGGTCCTCCATTTCTGGCACTGGGAAGCGGCTGTAGTCAGTTGTCCTACCTCCTGTCTCATCACTGTACCTAACACTGGTTGTGTGGACACTTACAGTACGCTGGACGTGCCTGGGCGGACATGACACCTGTAATGATAACAAGTTATTATAACCTTGGCAGAATTACTACAGCTTGTAATCTTGATGAAGGAATTAATCACGTCTACTTGTTTTCATATTTTTGCTTTTAATGCCAGAGGACAGACAACGGACGGACAGATGACGGACGGACTGACGATGGACGGACAACAGATGCCACATTATGGCATATGCTCACATTGATGCTTTGGACCAGATGAGCTAAAAAACATAGTAAAATGATCCCCCATGCCCCACCCTAAATTAGCCAAGATTTTTTTCCAGTAAAAAAGCGTCATTTGATACTTGAGTTGCGTATGCATATTGATGTGTTTTAACATGTAATACGCGAGTGAAAACACCTTACCATAACTTTTTTCCAGGATATATTCACCACTAATACAGTAGAATCAATATAGACCTATGACAACTAAAACAACACTTTTAAACAGTACCTGCAGGAACAGACGAGCCCTTTACAGGCCACACTCTATATACTAGAATTGATCAATTTGGTTATATGTGACATACAGATACCTAATTATGAACTTTGCTCTACCAATCAAGCGAAAGGGACTTCACTTCGAGAACGACATCACACAATTAAACTGTCGCACAACATTTTGGATGTCCACTGTTTCTTTTTGCAAGTCTCCCTAGGAACTCTTGTTAGTCCAATATAGGTCAGGAATGATGNTTGTCAAGGTTATAACATTACAGTGACAGGGTGGGATGTCTCACTACAGTGTACAGGTTATGACATTACAGTGACAGGGTGGAATGTCTCGCTACAGTGTACAGGTTATGACATTACAGTGACTGGGTGGAATGTCTCGCTACAGTGTACAGGTTATGACATTACAGTGACAGGGTGGAATGTCTCGCTACAGTGTACAGGTTATGACATTACAGTGAC